GAAAAAAAAGCCCTTAGAGACTTGAAAAATAGAGAAGATTTAGTTATAAAGCCAGCAGACAAAGGGGGGGGTATAGTCATTATGACTAAAGAATCTTATAATAAGGAAGCCATAAGAATTTTGACAGAAGGAGTAACATATAAAAAATTGACAGTTAATCCTTGTCTGGAGATCCAGGATAAATTTAGGAATTTCCTGAAAAGGGGGCTAGATATAGGGATATTTAGTCAAAAAGAATTTGATTTTATTAATATTATATACCCGAAAGTCCCAGTTTTTTATTTTTTACCTAAAATACACAAGAGCATCACTAATCCCCCTGGTAGGCCAATAGTGGCGGGGATAGATGCAATTTCTAGCAGACTCTCACATTATATAGATCTACAACTCCAACCCCTAGTACAAAATACAAAATCCTATATAAAAGATACCATAGCAGTATTAAATATGCTAAATAACTGTGTATGGGAGGAAAATTCTTTATTAGTAACGAGTGATGTAGCGTCATTATATAGCAACATACCTCATGAGTACGGGTGTAGAGCAGTAGCATATTTTTTAAGGAATAATTCAGATTTCTTGGAGACCCAAATAGAGTATATTTTAGAGGGTATAAGATTGATCCTGGAAAATAATTATTTTTGGTATGGTGGAGAATATTTTTTACAGATGAATGGGACGGCCATGGGGACGAAGTTCGCCCCCAGCTATGCCAATTTGTTTATGTCATATTGGGAACAACATTTTATATATGAAGGACATGGCTGGGGTGCGAACTTGGCCTCCTATGGCCGTTACATCGATGATATTTTCTTCATTTGGAAAGGAGGAGCTCCTCTTTTGGAGGAATTTTTAGCTTTTTTAAATTTTAATACATGGGGGATCAATCTAACTAGTACTTGGAGTGAGAAAGAAATATCTTTTTTAGATTTGACTATTTTTATAGAAGAAGGGAAAATTAAGACGAAAAATCATTTTAAGGCAGTAGATGCTAATAGTTTTATTGAAAAGGCAAGTTGCCATTTTACTCCATGGTTGGAGAATGCCCCTAGAGGGCAATTTTTACGTATTAGGAGAAATTGTACAGATTTAGAGAATTATAATAAACAGTCAATGAAGATTAAACAGGATTTTTTAGAAAAGGGATATGGAGATAAAAAATTAGAAGAAGCAAGGGAACAAGTTAAGGAGATAGAACGAAATAAGCTCCTGAGATATCAAAACCGTATACATCAGAATAGGGAAGGAGTGCCATTCATTTGCAATTTTAGCACTGAAAATTTTAAGATTAGAAATATCATAAAAAGATTCTGGCCTATTTTACGCCAAGATCCAGTGTTAGAGGAAATATTACCGCCACAACCTCAGTTTATCCACAGAGGAGTAAGGAACTTACGAAGTATTCTTACATCCAGTTTTATTAAAGAAAAGAAAAGCAATGATACATTCTTTCAGCGAGAAAAAGGGTTTTTTGGCTGTGGATATTGTTTAGCGTGTAGGAGAACAGGAAATAAAAGAAGAAAAATCACACACTTCATGAGCAAAGAGAAGAAAGAATATGAAATTAGAGAAGGAATTACATGTCATACAAACAATGTCATTTACGTAATGCAATGTCCCTGTGGACTAAATTATGTGGGGAAAACGACTCGGCCACTCCATGTTAGGATCGAGGAGCATAGTAGAAATATAATTAAAGGAGGAGAGAATCATAGTGTACCCCTCCATTATAAAATACATCATAATCAATCTCCACTAGGTAGCCTATTTTTAGGATTAGTGAGAGTAGAAAAAGATTGGAGGGGAGGAGATTTTAATCAGAAACTCAGTAAAGAAGAGATGAAATGGATCTTTGAACTTAACACTCTCATCCCCTATGGTCTAAATTCTGAATTTGAAATCTGTCACTTTTTAAATTAAACTTTTTTTTTATTTTTTTTTTTTCTTCTAGAGTTATTAGATTTAACTCTAATAGATTGTAGAGAAGATATTAATTATTTATTATTTATTGCCTTATGTGGATATGCACTTCTAAAATCAGTTTTCTTAAATAAAATAGCATTTTTTATTGTTTTTATTATATACTGTGTATGCTGCTGAGACTTTTTATTGGGAAGATTATTATAGCTTTATGTGTATTTCATATATCTCTTTTTATTATATGGTATGGATCAATGTGCGGTTTTTCTGTGAGGGGGGAGACTTTGTGCAATATGGAGATTTCCCCCGAGATTGTTATTTCTGCTCTATGCCTGTAACCCTGGTAAGAATACAAATGAACACTTAATAGGGAGAATGCAGGACTGACGTGTGACGTCATACGCGGAAGTGAACCGCAACGAAAAGGAGGCTTGAAATGCATACAGGGAGAACGCAAGATTGACGTATGACGTCAGACGCGGAAGTGAACCGCAACGAAAAGGAGGCTTGAAACGCATACAATACCGAACGAGGAAAGGAGGTAATACCAGCGCGCCAAAAGACAGCTGGACGCCGCTCAAAATCAAGGATAAGGTATAATAGCAGGACTCCAGATAGAAGGAGGATTAGATTGACCTAGCTGATGAAGCCGATAGTTTTTTGGCGAAACGCGTTCTGGGGACTTTAATATCATCACCTTTATGCCCATTGTTGTTATACAATTTATATTACTGTTATAACTATTACTTTTATACATACTTTGTTTTTATGTATTCTAATTGGCCATTAGAATTTTAAATTCAGTATACCTAAATAAATATTTGAATTTTATTGGGCTATTGGTTCCTGCTATATAGGAGTGTAGTCCTTAACTACACAACGCGCTGAAAAAGAGCCTAAGAGGGAGGCTCCACACTTGTGAGTATATATATACACATACTGTCTATATCAATACGGATTTTAGACTATATTGCACTATATATACTTTCGTTTGAGCTCTAGCCACAACGTGGGTGTCGTTTTTGGTGATACAAGAAAGGGAAAGGTCGCCTTGACGGACCTGAATGCGTATACCCCTGAGCTTGGCCGTAAGCTCAGTAATATGTGAGTGGTTCCATATATAGAGCTACGATTGTAATAATTCTTTATTTACAGTGTTGCACTATGAACATTTAATTTCTCTTTCAGAAATAAATATACACATCACTGTTTTGAAAGAGTAACAACAAAAGAATTGGATTTCGATCTGTATGTAGCGCTTCACCTTTTGTTTTATGTATATGTTTATGATTAGTGTATAAGGAAAGATTACACATGGTGATATAGCAGCTATTACTTGAATATTGTTATATAACGTGTGATAAATAGGTTTTGGATAAAGCGCCAGTATATTACTATTTACTATTGCAAATGGTATGCCATCATGGGGGTAATTTTCATTCCTGGGCTACTGTACAGTCTGAAAGGCAACATAACCAACCTGGCGAATTTCAATGTGAAAAAAATGAAACGCAAGCCTTATATTTGACTCTGTAACTTTTGAAAACACCATAAAACCTGTACATGAGGGGTACTGTTATACTCGGGAGACTTCAGTATCACAACAATTATATCGTCAGTGTAAGTGCCATTTGTGTGTGAAAAATGCAAAAAATGTCACTTTCACTGACAATATCATTGTTTTAATACATTTTACTGTTTTGAAACACTAATATTTGTGTTCAGCGAAGTCTTCCAAGTAAAACAGTACCCCCCATGTACAAGTTTTATGGTGTCTTGGAAAGTTACAGGGTTAAATATAGTGCTAGCAAATTAAATTCCCTGGAATTTTTGCCTGGGTTGTCAGGCAGGTCCCGCTAATTGTAATTAATAAAATGACCTAATCATGTAAAATTATTACATAAATATTTATGTAGAATTATTTTATATATATACAGGGAGTGCAGAATTATTAGGCAAGTTGTATTTTTGAGGATTAATTTTATTATTGAACAACAACCATGTTCTCAATGAACCCAAAAAACTCATTAATATCAAAGCTGAATATTTTTGGAAGTAGTTTTTAGTTTGTTTTTAGTTATAGCTATGTTAGGGGGATATCTGTGTGTGCAGGTGACTATTACTGTGCATAATTATTAGGCAACTTAACAAAAAACAAATATATACCCATTTCAATTATTTATTATTACCAGTGAAACCAATATAACATCTCAACATTCACAAATATACATTTCTGACATTCAAAAACAAAACAAAAACAAATCAGTGACCAATATAGCCACCTTTCTTTGCAAGGACACTCAAAAAGCCTGCCATCCATGGATTCTGTCAGTGTTTTGATCTGTTCACCATCAACATTGTGTGCAGCAGCAACCACAGCCTCCCAGACACTGTTCAGAGAGGTGTACTGTTTTCCCTCCTTGTAAATCTCACATTTGATGATGGACCACAGGTTCTCAATGGGGTTCAGATCAGGTGAACAAGGAGGCCATGTCATTAGATTTTCTTCTTTTATACCCTTTCTTGCCAGCCACGCTGTGGAGTACTTGGACGCGTGTGATGGAGCATTGTCCTGCATGAAAATCATGTTTTTCTTGAAGGATGCAGACTTCTTCCTGTACCACTGCTTGAAGAAGGTGTCTTCCAGGAACTGGCAGTAGGACTGGGAGTTGAGCTTGACTCCATCCTCAACCCGAAAAGGCCCCACAAGCTCATCTTTGATGATACCAGCCCAAACCAGTACTCCACCTCCACCTTGCTGGCGTCTGAGTCGGACTGGAGCTCTCTGCCCTTTACCAATCCAGCCACGGGCCCATCCATCTGGCCCATCAAGACTCACTCTCATTTCATCAGTCCATAAAACCTTAGAAAAATCAGTCTTGAGATATTTCTTGGCCCAGTCTTGACGTTTCAGCTTGTGTGTCTTGTTCAGTGGTGGTCGTCTTTCAGCCTTTCTTACCTTGGCCATGTCTCTGAGTATTGCACACCTTGTGCTTTTGGGCACTCCATTGATGTTGCAGCTCTGAAATATGGCCAAACTGGTGGCAAGTGGCATTGTGGCAGCTGCACGCTTGACTTTTCTCAGTTCATGGGCAGTTATTTTGCGCCTTGGTTTTTCCACACGCTTCTTGCGACCCTGTTGACTATTTTGAATGAAACGCTTGATTGTTCGATGATCACGCTTCAGAAGCTTTGCAATTTTAAGAGTGCTGCATCCCTCTGCAAGATATCTCACTATTTTTGACTTTTCTGAGCCTGTCAAGTCTTTCTTTTGACCCATTTTGCCAAAGGAAAGGAAGTTGCCTAATAATTATGCACACCTGATATAGGGTGTTGATGTAATTAGACCACACCCCTTCTCATTACAGAGATGCACATCACCTAATATGCTTAATTGGTAGTAGGCTTTCGAGCCTATACAGCTTGGAGTAAGACAACATGCATAAAGAGGATGATGTGGTCAAAATACTCATTTGCCTAATAATTCTGCACTCCCTGTATATATATATATATATATATATATATATATATATATATATATTTTTAATTAATTATTTTTGATTATATATATAGATATATATATAGTGATATATACGTATATGCTTATGTATATAGATATATATATTATTTCGTTCTACATGTATTTTGATATCAATATATATATATATATATATATATACATATTAATTTTAAAATACAGTTAGAACGAAATTACACATATATATATATATTATCATTATATATATATATATATATATATATATATATATATATATATATTTATTTGTATATAATATAAAATAAATAAATATGTAAATATTTTAAAAAATAAAATTAAAAAATAATAAAAAATAAATTATATATATATATATATATATATATATAATTTATTTTTTATTATTTTTTAATTTTATTTTTTAAAATATTTACATATTTATTTATTTTATATTATATACAAATAAATATATATATATATATATATATATAATGATAATTATATATATATTTAATCAATATCATTGTACGTGTATTTTGATATTAATATATATTTGTAATTATATAAATATTAATATTAAAATACACTTAGACAGTGTATTTGTATGTATGTATATGTGTATATATATATATATACATATATATATATATATACTTAGATCATATATATAGTAAATATATATATATATATATATATATATATGATCTTAGTATATATTTTATTTTAAACTGTTATTAACTTTCTTTTTTTTTTTACTATTTTCAGAGAGCAGGGGGAGTACCTGTCATTACAGGCACCTCCCCTGCTGGCAATGCCTTGGACGGCTATGCCGTCCATGTGATCATGAGGTCCTCGCAAGGACCTCGCGATCATATGGCCTGGGGTGGGCAAAAAGGATGGAGGGGGACTCCCTGGGCTCCCAGGTAAGTCCCCATACCGCGATTGCCGGCGTGGGATTGCCGGCGACCTGGTAAGTAGAAAGGCCGGTTAGGGCGTTCTATGCCGCCCGCCAGCGCTTAGAGCCGGTTCCCTAAGGACAGCATAGAATGTCTGCCGTTCTTAAGGGGTTAGAAGCTGAATAAATACAACTCATACCAGTATCCATGAGCTAAAAAGGGGGACTGCTTCTCCACTGCAGATTTACAATTTTAATTCCATGCGGTATACTGCCTAATGAAAAAGAGGGGTGGAAAGAAAACATATGCTCCCTAAAAGGTGACAAATAGTAGAAAAACTTAATGTTCACAAAAACTATTAAAAATAATTTAGTAGTAAGTGCCAAGTTTGGCACAAAATGCATTAGGTGGCTCTCCTGTTTGTTTGTTTGTTTTTTGTACGATTGCCTTTGTTAGCAACATGCTAACAGCAATACTTACTGCTTAAAATGCTTCCAGAGACTCTCCTAAATTAATTCTTTCCTATGGTCACCTCCAAAAGGGCGTGGGTGGGGTGCTGAATCTGGTCTGGATTCCAAATATACACAGAAAAAAGGGAATTGTTCTGTATGGCAGCACCACTACCGAGAAAGGCGTCAAAATCTCCATATTTGTTTGCTAAGATAAGTGATTTTAAAACTTTTAAACTGCATCTAAATTGCTGTTCCTTAGTCTGTATTTTGTATATATATTGAGTCATTGGTGTTTATGATAGCATCACTACTGAGAAATACATGTTCAAGGTGTGCCCCTCAATTCCCCCCTTTCTCCTATTTTTGTGTGCCACGTATTGTTTATTAAACATTAATTTTTTTATACTATTTGCACTCTTTTGACACATTATGTAGTTTTTTGTTTCTTTCTAAACCCGTCTTCATTTTTCATTGGGTCATACAACAACCGGATTTCTGTTTGTATAAATAAACACACATACTAGCACACATTCTCCATAGTGTTGTAAAGTACTGCGCCTATTATTCTCTAGTATTGTACATTCTCCTAACTTGTATTCCAGCTCAGTATAAAACAGTCACATGAATTTGAGATATAGGAGAATTTGTATGACCCTCTGCTTATAAATGATTTGGGGACCTAACTCCAGGAACATACTCAATGCATACATCATGAGGGAGAATCTCAGAGATACATTGCTCTTGACTGGTACATTTGGGCCCTTGAGTCAGGTTGTCTTGCTGTAGATAGATTAGTCCACATAAATATAGTTATTGGTACTTGAGAAAAAATGGACACTTTCTATTCCATCGTACGATCACAGTTATCAAAAAAAATTCTCACTTCCAATTATCTTCTAGAATTTTTTCAATTTGTTTCTGCTGTATTCATGAAAATACTGTCATGAGACTGACCAAAGATTTTGGTCCTGCTAAACCCTGCTGCTAAAAATTGTATTACTGCTAAAAGGTTGCATGCCTTTGCTAATTCATCATGATCTGTTATTTTTTACCTATTTTAGCTTCTGTGCAAATGTCTAATGATTTGGTTTCTCCATTATAATCACTATTCTCATATATCAATTCCTTAATATCTGACTTTAATTCTGATTTAAAACAGAAGCATATGCATAGCATACTTCTCTCCTGCAAAAAAGTGTAAAAACATTTCATTTGATCAAATTTGCATAACCATTTAAATTAACTACCTTGTAGTGTATTTCATCCTATCCTATCTCTTTCACCCTCAAGCTCTAATCTTCCCTTTGCAGTTTAACTTTAGGTCAGTGGTGTGATCGTCCATCCCAACTTGCATGCTAACTAACGTGACATGATTACTAACCAAAACGGCCAAACTGCAAATTCTCCTGCCTTTATCTTAAAACTATAGCTCATCTTTGCCTTCAAACCATCTTCTTAGTCATTATATCCTACCTCGACTACTACAACCCACCATTAAATGTTTCAACAAATATCTATCTATCTATCTATCTATCGATTTGTCTGTCTGTCTATCTATTTATCCATCTGTCCATCATCTGCATGAGAATGTGTTCGTCTTTCTGTCTAACTGCTTAACAGAAAAGCACTACAAACAATAAGGAAATACAGCAAAGAGAGGAAAAACAATTGCAGGAGTAAAAGAAGAAGACTAAAATGAAAGTTTAATGCTGATGGGAGAAGGTTGTGTCTTTAATGTGGGATGTACTTCCTCCCGCTTTTCTTCTGGTATATAGGGAGAGCGTGTTCCAAAGCTGTGGATCCTGCATTGATTAGAAATTAGTTTTTAATTTTACCATCTTGAACCACTTAACCATGCTGCTGTTGTAGCTTTTGAATATACATAATTGCTAGATAATATTATGATGATCTGTGGTCGGGTGTTCTGAGGACCAGTTTTATTGGTGCCTCCCGAGATGTGGTTGTACTTCAGGTTCCATATAATTAACTGAGTTGTGTTTTGTGTGGCCTTTAGGATTGAGAAACGTATTTTCTAAATTTATCATTAACCTTTTGTTAAAAAAAGACCCATGTTTTTATATGCCATATTACTTGTCCGAAATTATTTCTATTTTCATTGGATATAGTGTTACTAAGTATGTTAGTGCTTTATAAATAAATAATACAATTAACAATTGTGGTTTCTGTTGGCACGTGAAGTCAGTCCACAATAAGATAAGAATTACCATTAAATCTTTCAGATGACACGGAATATCACAAGTGAAGCTGACAGCAAGTTATTAAGCTGTCTAGTGATATTTCACACAGAGTAAGTAATTACCACACAAAGCTGATTTGTGACAAGACATCTCTGATCTTTTCAAACACTATGTTCATTTTTGTATCACATCAAACGAATACCCCATCCCGTGACGGGTAGCCATACTTCTACAGACCCTTTATTGCTGAACATGTACAGTGTTTCCGTATCTGAACATACTTTAGCAAACCGTTTATTGTTGGGCATTTATGGTTTTTCATTATCTAAACATGTATCTTTAATGTTTTCTTTCTGTATGTTCTTTGAATTGGAACTGGAAAATAATTTAAATAGATATAACAATTTAAACGCAATTAAGTCCATCCAAATAACAATGTATTCTGACATAACTTAAAGTTCAGTGTGCAAAATACCCAGGACATGAGTTGTTAAAACCTTTATGGGTTTCTTGTTACCATGCTCTTTGTCAATTTAAATTGTGTTTTTTTCCTTAATCGGTATGGTAGACTCGGAACTAATAATGTATAGTAGAACAAGGAGCAGTGTTTGTCCTTGCTATTTGAACAACATATAGAACCTTAAAAGACTTCCCTTCAAATGAAGTTCAGTCATCATGGATCACCTATTGCTGTTCCTGAATAATTGCCAAAAGTAATCCCTGCAAATATTGCCATCAGGACTTGGACAAAATCTTGACCTGGATATAAAAAAAAACAAAAAAACAGCAGCTCACTGTCAAGCCCACTAGGATCAGCTAGGATTATAAAAATGACAATTAGAAAGCTCACCAATTTAAAGTAAGAATAATTAGGACTGTAGTTAGGAAACTTGTGCATGGTGTAAAATTTTGGTTCAATCAGTTTGATAGCTGTCCATGAGGTGGTTTGACTTGTCTGGATAGCATCCTTGCAAAATATTTGTGAAAACAATTCAGATGAATCAAAAGGGTGCAAAAATAGGCCAATCAGTGTACTGCAAAATATATAAACATTATGTACATGTTTTAGCATTTTACTGCCATTTGGTTCAAAGATGAATTGAAGAAAAAAAAATAACCAATAGAGGAAAAAATATGAGAAGCAGCAAAAATCTATATTTATATATAATATATTTATTGAACATATAATACATATGTTTACAAGTATAGATTTTTTTACTGTCCCTCCTTTTTTACTCTATTGGTGTCTTGATCTGTGAATTAAATCAACATTTAGTGGCTGTCCCCAACCATTGATCTTCTTTTTTTTGCCATCAATCATCAGTTTTTTTGCTCCACAAAAATAATTTTAAATTATGGCTCAAACAAACATGCTTGTCAATTGCACAAGTGCTTTGTTCGGTTATACGTCCATATGGTGCGATGCTTAGTCTGGGCAAGATTTACA